TACTTTTGTCGTACCCTTGATTTGGACAACAACATAAAGGCGGTTTTTGAAGGAATGTGAGAAGACAGTGAAATTTCTTTTAAGAGGTTGTTCGAAGAAACTTCTGATGTTGCATCAACTATGGGAATTGAATTATGCAAACCTTGTTTTGTCAGTAAATCCTAACATAGGTCAACAGCTGCTATGCATGAAAATGAAAACCCGATTTTAGAGTTAACAGAATTGCTATCTTCTTGAATTTCCATGAGCACATTAACAAACATTTCAAAGCCAGTGCTACCTTCATCAGCATTATTACATCAGTAGTGACTTGGAAATGCTGGAAAGAGATCAAGCCAGCCTTTGAAAAGTACGACTGGATATTTGGAGGCAATGAAGCTAAAGCTGAGATGAAATTCCTCATATGACAACAATATTGGAAGAACTGACCATCAAAAGAAGAAAACCAGACTAAATTCGGTACTATAATTGGTGCACTGAACCAATGTAACCTTCCTTTTCTAAAATGATTGTCATCCTTACAATCCTGCCAGTTTCCACCTGTGAGCCAGAAAGGATGTTTTTAAAAAAAGTTCAAAAGACGTTAACTGCCATAAGAAGTATCATTATGGAAGACTGGACGAAATCATTGATACCTTTTCAATCCTATCGGGAATAACCACCAAGCAACAAACAAGTAAAAGAAAAATATGTATCCAGGAATCATAGAGTGGACTTTATTCTGTGATTTATGTTTAGTGTGAAAGTGTTTGAACATAGGTCATTGTTTATTTACATGTTTCAATCAAAAGTTTAGATTAAGTTTTTTAAGAACCAAACAAACAAGCTTGTTTTTACTTACACTACACAGAGACTCAAATGGATGGTTGAATCACTTTTTTGTTTGTTCATCCACTTTAAGCTTCCACCCATCAGGTATTTTCTCCAAGATTTGACACTAGACTTGCCTCTGATACATAGTTCACTTTAAAGTCACCCAGATGCCAACACCAAAGTAGATGCTTTCGTCCTCCCTCCAAGAGCAACATTTTGGTAGAGGTATAATTAGCACTGGCTCATAAGTACCATAGTAGGTTTGGGGTAGCCCTGGTCACTGACTTGTATCCAGAGTAACTGTATTGCAGTGTTAATTGTATTGGCTACTGGTTTACCCTCAGTGAAGCTCAATCTTGGAGCTCTAGGCTTCTTTTTCTCCTGCAACTTATTTTAAGTTATAATTTCGAACCTTTTCACCATAGAATTGCCTCCATTGGGATGAGAGACATCTCTGTTCTTTTCTGGATCAAAGCATTGGTGCAGTCCTAAAGTTTCACGTCACTCAAGTAGTCAATAAAGTTAAGAGCTGAACCATCCTAATATAACCTCAAGAATTACACCAATTGTTTCTGCATCCAGCAATTCCAAGTTATAAATTGCTTGAAACACTTCAAGAAATAGTCCAGATCCTTATCAGTTTCAACCTCGAATGTCAGGGGAGGATCTGTTTAACCTCGCTCACATGACTCAGGCTGAGATGTCCAAAACATTAAAAATACGGTGTGGTGGGCATACTCTTGAGCCTTTCCATTTAGACAACCGTTAGGTACCTGCCTCTGGGCAGCAGAATGACGAGATGTCATAGGCAGCTCATCCACAGGCTCTGCACGATCCAAGGTCTCCTTATGACCAATATTTGTTCTTGGTAGCGCACTTTCCGTCCCAGGAAGGCTCACTACTGCTTCATTGATGATCGTCTACACCAGTGAATGCCCACTGTCTTACCTGCTGGTGAAACAGTTCAGGTTGATGGACACTGACCAGCAACATTATTTCCAGTTTCTTGTCTGGTCTCTAGTAGCATTGATCATAGCAGTGGTCCAATTACTCTTGTTGTCAAATGTCTGGAAGTTTTATATAGACTACTCCATTTGATCTCAAACTCATGAGACTGCAACTCACTGTGATGGACTTCAGTTATCTGTCCCTACTGTACCCAGAAATTGATCTTTGAAGGGATAACTCAGTTGAAAATTCTGGTTACACCAGATTCAAGCACTTTTCTTTCCTAAGCCTGTGTCTGCAACGAGAATGAAAGTCCAACATCAAGGATAGTCCTTCTCTGAAATAAACTAATTCTCGCTGACAATCATCTACCTCAGTAATTAACTGTTCTCCTGGTAATAAGTCCTTGAATTTGTGAAAAATACAGTTTCTTGAAGAAAAAAGCATATTGAGCTTTGTTTGTTTGTTGTTAAGCACAAAGTTACACAATGGACTACTTGTGCTGTCCCCACTATGAGTATCGAAACTCAGTTTTAGTACTGGAACCATGGGTGACAAAAAGCACAGGGAAATTCAATTGTCAAGATAAAAGCAAAATATGATTCAGAGACAAATTATAAACAAAATTTTCTCCTTCCCATTACTCTGTGGTATTCTCAGATTCATTGATTCTCGTTGATCAGGTAGGGTCCACAACATAATAATCAGTTGAAATGGCAAATACATTGCAAGGTTAAACTGGTTTCTGTTGATTGTGACTGGTTTGTATAATGGAAAGAGACTGGACACAATATAACACACGGTTAAAACAGTGAAATTTCAGTTACAAAACAAAAAATTATTAGTGTGAGACAAAGAACAGCGCCTTTACTGGAGATCGAAAATATGTGAACATTTGTGTCAATCTGTCCGAGACTGAGAAAACATAGCATTATTTACATAGTTCTACAATGATATTCTTCTTAGGGCATGTGCACTACTTACATAACTCTTGGTGATTCCAATATAAAAATAAGATAGGATTTGTCCTCAAGGTGTCACATGACCCACCAGTGGAAACGACGTAGTGTATTCTACTTTACAGTAATGTTTTTCATGAAAGTGCACATTGTTACCATAAGGAAAGGACCTAAAACAAAAGGTAACTAGGGCAAAAGGAACTTAGCGACTTTCTTCACCATTGTTCTACTTTTAAACCTACATAAATTTGTATACACCTGAAAGTTTAGGTGTACTTTAAAAGTTCACATTACTAAATTAATGATTTAGAAAACACCTTTCAGGGGAAAAAGTTATCTACGATATCTACGGCGAGCATGGCGTAGATAGCGCTATGTGTAGCTCTGCGCTTAGCAACACAAAACTTTTGCATGAAAATCCGATCTTCTATAACAAACACACACAAAAATATAAACATAAAGTTTATTTATTTATTGTTTTTAGGAGATTTTGCTTGTTTCTTTTGCTTTAAAGTCAAGTCACATTGGACTAACTAATGTGTCTAACATGGGGAATCGAATCCGGGATTTTAGCGTTCTAAGTCCGTAAACTTACCGCTGTCTCACCGGAAGACTTTCAAGAGAGAATTTAATTATGAATAGTAATCAAATAGTTGTTTTAGTGGTTGAGGTGGTTGATATATATATATATTTAGAAATTGATTGCCAAAATCAATAGCTATATAAATGAAAGTATCAAGGTTTCAATATCAATAACCCTCATTGGACATGCTCTCTCTTTCAGCCGTAGAGGGGTTATAATGTAATGGCCAATCCTACTATTTGTTCGTAAAAGAGTAGCCCAAAAGTTGGCGGTGGGTGATTTTGACTAGCTGCCCTCCTTCTAGTCTATCACTACTAAATTAGGTTAGTGAGAAGATATACCTCGAGTAGTTTCGCGCGAAATTCAAAACAAACCAAATCCTTAGAGCTGTTTTTGAATTTTTGAATTATTACTTTGTGTTTTCAGATCAAATTATTTTATAATAAACCCTACTTTAATGACGATTAAATCAAATAAAAAGCCTGTTGAATAAGATTAGTATTGAAAATAAAAGTACAGTGAATTCAAGCTTTCTTAACATTTTCTAAATATATCAAATAGCTTGTAGGAAATAATAAAATAATTATTTCTATGAAGTTTATAATGATGAATTGAATTAAAAAGTATAATGAAACGAAAAGTTTATTTCTTGGAATTGATATTGCATTTCTATGTGTTAAATGGTGACATTTTTCTTTACGAGATCTAGAATTCATTGCTCGCTTTGTTCAAAAACCTATTAAGTTTACTGATGAAATTACACTGTGAACAATCGTGGAAAAAATTCAATAAATCGTATTGAAGTAGCAACAGCACAAACTTTTATCTTTAAAATCGTAAGTCAGTTTATTGTTCTCATGAAGCGTAATGAATACAACATTTCTTAGAAATACCTTTTCTTCGAATATAGGATCTGTGAGTTGAAATTAGAGACATAGTGCTACATTCAACACTAAATTATATTGCCCGACCGAAAATGTTTACTTAACTCATAACAGAAGAAAAATGTTAAAATACGAACACTTATTAATAAAATCGTACTAGCAATGAAAAGCACATATTATAAACATCACTGATAGAAAAAAGAAAAACAAAAAATATAAACCTTGTCTCGGAACACACTTTGATGTTATGACGTTATTAGTCCATTTCTCAAAAGACGAGGAGGGAATTTCGACAACAATTTGGTCATTAGAGCCTAACCTTAAAGGTAGACTGCAAGAAGTCACGTTCGAACAATTTTGTAAACTAGTTTCATAGTCGTAAACCGTTCGTTTTAATAAAAATTCAGCATAAATCTCGTTAGGTAAGATATCTAGAACCGAGTTGCTTAGAAACAGAACGTAATAATAATCTGACGACGTCACGTTAAAAGTAATAATGTTTCTTGGGTCGAAATCCTGGTGAAGTTTGGCGGTGAGAGCACATCGATAACTGTATCTCAGCGGCACGTGTAATAAAGCATAATGACAAACAAAAGGATCTGAAGTTTCGTTAGAGGCGACATCTTGGCTGCTCGATAGAGATGATGTCATATCGTCCGATTCTTCGCTTGACTCTTCACTCTCAGTATTATGACCTCGGGTTGAAGGGTAGAGATATTCATGAAGACAAAGGCTAAGATTCTGATGACCTCTCAGTATGGATAGTACCCCACCAGACAAACGGGCACACACAGACACGGTGATAGTAGATCCTTTTAGAATATAAAACCTCCAGTATTTCCGGTCTCCAATCATTAGCTTCATATGATTAGACATGGACACATATCTTAATACCTGGGGATTCACTGAAGGCTTTTTAGTGAATAAAAAAGCGTTGAACAAGGAGCTCGAATTTAAATCTTGTTCCTTACACCAAATTGAAGATATTTTTTCTGTTACTAATATGGCGTCTGATGATGTTGCATGCACGTGATGATCAGTGAACACACAACGACGCAGTACTAAGGGAGTAATGAAGAGAACTAAAGCTGAAAGGAAAGTTATGAGCACAATAATCATCTGACGACGGGAGGTAAACATTGCGTGGACTTTTAAATCTATTCATGTATTTTAAAAAACAGCATTAGTATTTACTCTACAAACACAATTAAAATTAAAATTGTTATGACAAAAAAAAAGCTAAAATCACTAAAGAAGAATGTTTGACTGAGAGAAGGGAAATCACGTGAGAAATTATGATAGACCACTGATGTGTCACCAGGGTTATCAGTGATACATGATCCTCAAACAGTGGCTTAACTTCATAAACACAGCATTTGTCAACAAATGTATTATGCAATCTTGTTTTTTATATACATATATATATAGAACTCCGCAGTGTGGCCCTTCAACTGTAGTGTAGTTTTATATCCCTACTCACCAACTTTCCAAGTGTTCTTTTGATTTATACTCACTTGTATAGTCTGAAAGCTTTGTCTAAAATACATGGGAAGGTCGGTATAACTATCGAGCTAAAGTCGGGTGCTTTACTAACATAAAATACTAATCTGTGTCTTAAATAATTTGCTTTCTCTATTTAACACACGTGGCCAAATTATTCAAACACGAAGAGTCATAAAAAGTAACGGCAACAAGTTACAGTAGGTTCAGTTAAACCTTCAAATTAGTTTAGGTCCCATAAAAAAAATTTAGTGATTCTGTTTTCTCTGTCAGCTGTCAAATATATTAACTAATACAGGATTTTACCTTTGACTCTCGGAATCAACACCAGGGTAGCAGTAGAGCTGATCTAGAAGCTTATAAGTGAGGGCACGAACAAATACATACCTATCAAATAGCATGATTTTAAATTTTTAGTTTCGAAAAAAAATAGGCATGAGTTACGATTAAATCAGCAAATCGAATTATAACCATGAATAGCACCCATGTGTAGTATAAACTATTAATCATGTTGTTAAAGATAAGGAAATGGTGAAAATTTTCCAGGATGTTATTTTTTTTTCTTTTACAAGCGAAAATTACTCTTTGATATTTATATATAAAAGATACAGTTTAATACGTTTACTGAGCATAATACAGGAATTTAGAAAAATTTCTTGTACTTGTAGATAATTCTATATCATTATATTTTTTAACAATTACCTATCTCCCGATGACATATCTATAAATCATCCATAGAGACGGTATCTTGTACACGCCTCTATAGGTAGTTAGGGAAATAAATACTCGTAACTGGTGCAAAGCAGGTATTAGCATTTCTAAACATTATGTGTTAGACGCAAGTAATTAATTACATTAATAACTCTATTATTAAACATAACAACTGTTTTTAGTAAATTTAATGAATATGGTAATAGCTAGATTAGTGGTTATCGTATTCATTACCTGCTATTAATATGTTGCTGCACCCAGAACTGCGTTTGCGAACTTCATGAGATGAAAATTGAAGAGCTATGCATCTGTACCTGATCCTGCAACCACTGGAGCTTGGTTTTAGTACATAAACTGTATCTTAGTTTGTTGAAACCTGATACATTTTCCACATAAAGAAGTATAATGAGTGTCACGAAGGCATCTATTGTACTTAGATGGATATGAGTTATATCTTTTTCAAGCTTTTCTGGATATTCCAGCGATCTCCTATACTTTGTATTTACAGAAAGGGCCTTCTTTATTTCAGTACCATGCAGGCTATTAGTTAAGACGTATCCTGTTAAACTATGCAGTGCTGGTAACAGTTAACTTATATCCTCCCCAATAGCCTTCAGTGCTTTGTGGATTCGTAACAAAAACTTCTCTGTTTTTCATTACCTGTATGAAACCAAAAGTATTTCAATACCTGAAACACCAGATATAACAGAATCTACTGTGTCATATCGAGCTTCTGCAAATTTGAACTTGTCTTTTAATACAGTTACCAAAGAATCAGGTAGTTTCCCAAATGAAAGTTTCTTACCATTTGTCATCATCTGATTACTGTCAAAAGATCGTCATTGTATGCTTGGGATGAAGTATTCCTTTTAAAATGTTTTCCATTTCTAATTCCGTTAAAAAAATCAGCGTAATTAGAATTTTTTAAAGATCTATGTTATTTATGTCTGTGTCACGACTACTTGATACAAGAAAATGGCTGTAAACCTATCGATTAGTATTGGTTGCTTTCAAAATATGCTTGTCCTTTGTCAGTTTCAAAGGCTTGCCAAAACTTGCAAAGGCCTTTATATGTATTTTATCGAGAGAGTCCCAGGAATTACGATTGTCATTTATCAGATTTGCTAAGACAAATTCATCCGCTGCAAACGTGCCTATATTTCTAGCTGGAAGCAAAGAGACAGAAATTTAATTGTGAAGCTACTGTTCCAGTAGCAGTATTTACTAGAGGCATGATATTTAATTCCAATAGGTTAGCCATTTTTCTTGGTGCAATCAGTATCTTTGCCAACCTCTGTTACTACCTTGAATTACTACACTCATGACTTTGAAAGCTGTTATTGTAGTAGCCATTATATAAGCTGTCAATGCCCACATTTCTGGTTTCTTCCATTTCAGAAAAAAATCCCACTGTTACTCCCTTTGTCTTGAAATATTTATTTTCAGCATGTTCTGGTAGCATATATGGTGAAACAACATTAAAATGTTAATAACTGGATGCTCGTAAAACAACGTAAACAATTTTATGCAAATTATTTTATGTACTACAGATGCTGTAAATGGTGTAGCATCTTCGTGTCCACAATGATTTTCTTTACATTTTCATCCTCATCAGTATTCCACTGAACTAAGTACACAGTGTACAAACATCCTGTTTTCAGCTTCTTCCTAATTACATTTCCGAAATAACCAAGGTGACCAAATGCCCTGTCATAAGGCATCATATCACTGAATGTTTCAAAATGCGAGTTCCAATTTACATCGATCTTTCCATGTATAAATTAAAGCAATGTTCATACCATGCCAAAATATTTTCCCAAAACTGGAATAACTTTGAATGCTCATTACCAAACTTTTTATATTAATTGCACAATAGGGTGAACTTCTCTAGAAACCTACCTAGCTGGAGCGTTAATTACCGAATTTCATCTCTATACTCATTCACGTATTTTATTTTGCTGCTGGAATACAGTTAGTAATTAGTGTTTATTGTTATTCACATCTTACACATCATCTTCATCTTTGATAAGCTCTTCTTATCTAAGCCATTTACAGAATGACTTCCACCATAATCTCTTAAGAGCTTCCAATATCAGTTTGTGAGCTATAATTGCTTTTTTGTAATAAGTGCCGATAAAAATCTCTGGCTGAAACATTGGGATAATACACATCTCTTCTATTCCATAATCTGCTATGTATTTAGCTACCAGTCCAAGAAAATTATTGCTTCAAGGGGCAATTTGATCAAATTTTGGTGATAATGTCTACTGGATTCAATTTTCCTCACTGCAAATGCCCTCATCAAATGTACGAACAGTGTTTTCTTGTTGCAAATCTTCATAAAATGTTTTTGAGACTTTTCAAGGATATATATATTTACTGTATTCTGATCTTTGACAGGTACTGGTATAATTGGTAGAAATCCTATTATTGTTTGTTCTGAATTGTTCATTGTGACAGTAGGATGAAATTCACTTCATCCTGGAACTCTATGGATTTCCTGTATCTGTTCAATTTCTGTAGCAAAGAATTTTTCTGGTTTATTCCTACAGAATACCCAAGTTCTGTTCAATCAAAAACATTTCTGTCACTCTAAGATTTTCTAACTGATAAGTTCCATTTTTCCTTCTTTAAAAGCAGAACTATTAATTATTCAAGGAATTTAGTATATCATTTTCTTACTTGGTCTTAGTGTTCGCTTTCTAATCTTATTTTGTTGTTTCAGCTTTGACAATAGAGTTGCTGGATCCAATGCAAATCTTATGGATAAAATTTGTCTAGTCTTTTTCTACTTCACCATATATTTTTTCAACGTATGCCTAATCTGGAAGTAGTCTGTCATCTCCAACAAAATACCTCTGTGATTGAATAATCCATCCAATAAATTTCTGTAGACTAATAGGTGCAGTATTTTTATCTTTCTTTACTGTCAGATTATAAATATCTACGTGGGTGTGTTTCAATTCCAATTGTATCTTCCATGCCACTTCTGAGCATCACAGCTGCACACGTATCTGTTGCATCTCTAGTTTCCACAAAGTATGAAACTAAACTTTTGAGCTCACCAACAACATTTATTATATCACTAATATTTATAGATCCATTACAAACAAGTTTTGGTTTATTTTACTCATAATGAGGACGAAATATTATTTTGTTATTATATTTTTGTACCAGTCTTTCAGCTTTTGTGTCTTGTTTCCCTTAGTAGATTCAGCATCCTAGCTAGAATCTATGAAGTGTCCGTTGAACAGGTGAAGTAATAATGACATATCATAATCTCTGTCTTTTTGATGAGTATCTGATCAATTTCCATAATTAATTTAGCAAACGATTTATCATGTGCATTTCCAGTTGTGTTTTCACATTCCCTGGCTTAGAACTTGGCGCAGTAACCGAGTAACATTTGTAGCATCCTCTGCCTTATTTGGCTTCAACATCAATAAGATCTAGATCTATTTCTCACATTCTTGTTGTTATTATGTTATTTTGTCAGGTTCTTAGCCCGCACAAACGTGTGATAGACCTGTATTTTTACTACTTATGTAATGGTATTTTTCTCTTTCGTTTTCATGTTTTCACACACTAAACATACTGACCAATCTGTTCATAATTTTAAACTGCATCGTGTAAGCCCTGAGAAAAATGAAGGAAATAGATGTTTCCTCAAAGTTGGAGGCATGAGATACATTATAACTGCTCGTGTAGCTACAGTAATATACTCTGTGCCACTTTAAATTTTTTACACATAATTCTGTAGCTTTTTATATCTTGGTGCTAGGCGACGGTATACATCACTATCCTTACTTCGGTACATTCTTTGAATTTGACTATTGAACATGGAAACCCAGTCTGCAGTTGTTGGTTTGTATTTACTGTCTGACATTTAATACATGTTTCATATTTCGTATTGTTCCGTATTATTATTTCCAGTCTTATTAAAGGACTTTTCCCAGGAAATTTCTTTATAGTGTAACGTATGTTCATCCTGCAAAGAAAAATAAAATTTGCTTTATACCACATATATGTATATATATATATATATATTGCGAACTCTCGTGTCATTCTCAGTCAATATACTATGGATTTTTACTCAAGTATGATTTAATATTATTTAAGTGAAAGAATGAGATAACTTATAACACACACACGCCCCCTAGTGGCACAGCGACGTGTCTGCTAACTTACAACGCTAGAAACCTGGATCGATAGCCCATTGTGTAGCTTTGTGCACAACTTCAAACAAACAAACAAACTTATAACACTCCTACTTGTGTGCAGTGTTAAAAATGAACATCTTTATGCTGATGTCTTGAAAACCGAGTCCAATTACAAATAATTTGTTTAAATTAGACTTGATTTATGATAGGTTTGAGATGTTGTTTCAATGGAACTTTAAGTACACATAGTATGTTTGAGAACTTTAATATATAAAAATATGGAGAAGGCCTCAGTATAGAAGCCGAAATGTCTTCCTCTTTCACTCAACAAGCAGTTGCAGTCCATTGATTTATTGTATTCATTTCTCTTTGTTTATTTGTTGTTAAGCGCAAAGCTACTAAATGGACTATCTGTGCTCTGCTCACTGTAAGTATTGAAACCAAAGTTGTAGCGTTATAGTCCATCATACTTATCGGAGAATATTATCTGACCTATATAAAAGCCAGTGTGTGTCACGTCGTGTCACGTTTAATTTATCTTGATTTCTCGAAATAGGAGGAATCGTAAAAGCCAAATTGCATTTATCCAGATAGAATAGTTAGATTACTGTTTGCTTATTAAGATTTTAGTGGCAGTGGTGCAAGAGGGCCGTGAGGTGGGGTGGGGGCGGGGGATGTCGTGAAACCTTATAGGTGTAGTGAGTGTTGGTTT